GACGAAAAACAAAAAGAACCTCAATTGGGCAAATTACAAAACGACCCCCCCGTACGTGGCAAATTTCGAAAAATAATTTCAGCACTGCTAACTCTAATTCTGTATATAAGTAAAACACATTAAGAGAAATTGATTGGTGCAAAGCAAACTCCAATCAGACGAATACTTTCCGAGATAGAGGAGATACAAAAGGAACCTTAACTGTTCAAGTTACAAAACGACTTCCCATTACGTGCCAAATTTCGATGACATCTTTTACTTTGGGCAATTAATTTTGACTGCTTGAGTGCTTTTATTTTTACTTTATAACCCAATGTGTTTGTTATATTATTAAGTCTTAATAATATTTTCTTATGTGTTTACAACAAATCATGTTTTTCTTGGTTTAATAAATTCCTTGTATACTTTAAAATAAAACTCTTTTTGAAAAAGATTACTTTACCATTTATTTTTAAAAAATATTGTTCTCCATTTTAAAAAGTGTAGCTAATTGTCTTTTTGTATATAATAATAATTGCTTTAAAGTCATTGAACTTTAAACATTTGTTTAATAGTAAATATGTTTACAAAAATATTTCCTAATAGATAAATATAGTTTTCTATTTTGTGGTTTATTGGATATATTTTTATAATATTATATTAATTGGAGTTTTTATATCTTCTACTCAAAATTTATCAAAATAAAGCAGATTTAACTTTCAGAATATTAAAAAATAGAAATCAGAATAATATTCATTTACAATCTTTGAAAATCACTAGATAGAGGTCATAATGTATTATATCTTAACTGTCAAACACCTATCTTTCCACCACCGCATGTGCCTTTCATTTGAAAAACCAGACCAGACGCTAGCCACAATGTTGCATGGTGAGGGAGAAATGTTGAGCAGTATTGAGAAATATTTTGATAGTGGCGTATAGTGAGAATTTTCAGCGGGGATCAACCAAAATAACACGACGGATGTGTACAAGATGTAATATTTAAAAGAAATACTGGATATATCTCTTTCAATGACTTGCAATAAGATAAATTTTGAATATGTCTGCATTTAAAATTCTTGCTAATATTGTGACGCAAACTTGTGTTTGAAACACATTGGCTTAAGTCTGGTGAAATGATCACCCTCTCCACAGAGGAGATGTTATTGGTAAGATTCACAGTAGCTCACCCATGTCTTTCCATCACGAATGAAAACATGTCTAAAAGACAGTCGAGATCTTTATCCTACGGAAGCCTCTCGCGGAAGCCTACGACTTCATTTGACATGTCTAATATTTTATGTACACACTTAACGATGCTTGGAACCTAGAGGCAAAACGTCGTGATTGTAAAATAAAGACTTTTTTTCAAATTATCTTAATTGTCAATAAATAAGGATATTTGTTTTTTATTGCTAAGTATATACATACCCTCACCACCAGAGTTAGGTCTCCTACTTACAGGCTTCATGGTCATAAATGTCCCTTTGTAGAAGTCATTATTCAAGTTATTGTCCAATTTGAATGTACTGATTCACCACCACCACCACCACCACAAGCTGAATGCATAACAGCTAATCAGAGCTTCGTTCCGTCTTAGATTTTTGTATTGAAGCTTTCTATTGGATGGGGTGCCCTGATACCGAAAATATGCTGTTGTATATTTTTTCAAACGTCCGTCCGTCTGATATATGTGAAGAAAACACCTGGAAAACACTAGCGCCTAAACTCCGAATTTCCGAAAATTTCAAAAGTTTGAATTTTTTTCGGGGGTTATTACATTACAAAATGAAAGATAGAGATATTTTTCCTTCGAATGAAATTTGTTTTCACGAAGATCGCGTACATTTTTTTATTTTTAATTTTAGTAGTTTTCGCGCAATATTGTGTGCAATTAAAAAAATAAGATTTTCTAAAATAATGCTCAAAATTTTTCTTTAAACTTTTTAGGCGGCTTGCAAGATGTGGCAAGTTCGTATAGCTAACCGAGACCGAAGGAAAGGGGAATACGGGAAAGTCTGTGCCTTTCTGTACCCTACTAGTTTTTCAGTTATACACCTTATAGTGCGGCATTCACGCCATTAAGAGCACTGCCCGTAGCTAACGCGGGTTGCTGGAATTAAAGGAATTTTCTCCTAAAGAAGAAAGGAAAGAGGTGTTTCATTCTTTTCTACTTCTCTATTATTGTTTTGTATGCGACATTGATTTCAGATTTCCACAGATGTATATATATTTCCAGTTAGTTTCTCTGTGGTGTGTTGATAGATTTGTTTCGTCCTGAAGAAAATCCGCATAGTAGTCTTTCAAATTTATTTCCGATAATGGATAATACCGAGAAAGATAATGTTGAATCTAGGCATAGAAAAGAAAAAAAGGAGCTACAAGGTATGTTAATTGACAATTTGTGGATTGTAATTTCTTAACCTTCCAAATTCAGTTCATTTCATCTGATTAGGTAGAATCCAACTTCTTAAGAAAACTGCCACCAAGGGTGACAAAAAGAAAAAAAAAGAAGTATCTGATGAAATTGCACGTCTTGAACAAGAGCTTGAGAAAAAGCATTCTGAAGAATTGGCACAATTGGAGGCAACAGACACTTGCACAGTGAATTCTGAAGTATGTATATTTTCGTTCGAAACTGACCTTTAGACTTGCCAAACAAGTTTATTGTCATATTTTATTTTGTAGTTAAATGACATGGTAGAAAATTTGGAAAGAATTCCTAGTAACTTTAAGGAAGTTCCCATGCGAGTGACTAAGGCACAAAAGAGGAGAGACAAGAAAGCACAGCATGAAAAAGAGAGAGAACAAGAAATTAAAGAACAGGAAAAGCTTAATGTTTATGGTGCTCGGAATTTGGAGATCCAAAAAATCAAAAGTATTTTGAAAGAAAAGAACTTAATGGTTTATGAAATTCCGACTGATGGAAATTGGTGAGTAACATGATCAATTTATTTTGATGTGGATAATCTACATATGCACTATCAACATAGGATAGCTTTTTGCTTGTACCTAAAGAAATGTTATAATATTCCCTATAATAATTGCACTCGAACATTTATTGTACTCTTTACGACAGTTAAAAATGAGCATGGATTTCAGCCTTTACTGTGCTGTTGATCATCAGCTTACTCAGATAGGCGATCCTGCTCTGGGACTTGAGAAACTTCGAGTATTGACTAGTAAGATCCTGTTGGAGAATGTAGATGATTATCTGCCCTTCATGAGCCACCCGGAAACTGGAGGCTTGCTTACTGAAGAACAGTACAAGGACTACTGCAACAAGGTGGCCACCACCTCTGCTTGGGGAGGAGAAATAGAGGTGAGTTGTGGTGACCAATGTGACTATATGTGAAAGTTTTCTTGATATTCGATCATCCTAGATTTTTTCCCTGTACTGAATTGCTAGTTGAGAAAAATAGGTCTGACTTGCAACAGCATTTATCTCCAATGTAGCCATCACTTACCATGCACCTACAGATTCTCAATTTCCTTGTGATTGTGCCTTTATTAATAGCTTATCCTTATTGCTCTTATATTCTATGACTTCCTTTTATTCAAGAATTGCAATTATAATTATTTAGCCAATGTTTCCATCTGAAGTACTTTAACTCAATTATGTCATATTTTATTATTAAGTTACATTTGATTAAGGAAGAGAAGGAATAGATCCTGATGTTATTAATTTATTTTACGATTATATTGTTTCATAAGTCCAAAAAATAAAGAATTTTTAAAAAAATATTTCATAATTTTATGAAGGAAAAGAGTACAAAATTCTACAGATGACAGAAGTGCTAATTTGAAATTAGTGTGTACCTCAAGTAATTGAGGAAGATCAGTTTAGAACATTAATTGTTAATTACAAACATTGGTAATGACTGTATTTCTGTAAATATATTATAATTTTTTCTATTTGGAAAAGAGTTCAAAGTCACGAATGGGCAACTTTTGTAATCAGTTTAAGATGGTCACATTAGGTGAATTCTCAATAGAAAATTCTTAGAATACTTTTGGAATATGAATAAAATTATTTGGTTTTTAAATATTATTTTTGTAATTGAAATATCTACCATAGTAATGTATAGCCTCATTATAAATGTGTGCATTAAGTATTAATTTATATACCACCTAACTAGTCAATGTACCAAAATAATTGTATACAAGGACTGCACTTCTGTTTATTCAATAAATAATAATTAATTTCTTTGTTTTATAAAAATTAATGATCTGTTGCTTCCATTTCATTTCCTTGCTTATTCAAACTGGTAATAAAACACTTTTTACACAATAACAGTAATCTAATGTGGCAAAAGTTGACCTTTACTTTGAAATGTGAAACAGACTTTCATTTGTGTAGCTGCAGGCCCTGGCTCGTGTGCTGAAGCGACGCATTCAAGTTATCCAGGCTGAGGGTCCATTTGTTACTGTTGGGGAAGAATTTCCTGCTGATAAACAACTAATGCTGACCTATCATCGCCATATGTACGGTCTTGGGGAACACTACAACTCTGTGAAGCCTTATGAAGAACCCGTTGAGGAGACTTCTTGAACAAGATCCCATCATGTTTTGAGTGAAGAAGGACATGGATAAGGTTGCTGAACTGGTTTCCCATTTATTTTTAAGTATATATCTTCAATATAAATAATAATGAATTTTGGAAATTGATATTCTGAATTGTTAATATCAAGGAAAATTAATTATTCTGTGCTAGCCAATAAATGTGTTTGCACCTGCAACAAATTTAAATTTTTTTTTTTTTTTTTGCTGGTAATTATTGACTCCCAAATTCGTATGGTTGGCAAGTTACTTAAAGAAATGAGAAATATACTGATATTCACTTGCTGCAAGTGAAGGGTTAATAACTACAGTATTACCATACTATGTAAAGCCTTGACCAGGCACAGCATTCCAATATAGGTGATGCACTAAACCTTGTATATTGCATGGCATCTTGCTGTCCAGTGGTAAATCTCACCCTCCCCATGAATGAAAATGAAACATAAGTGCCATCTGAAGATTGCATTCTGCAATGAGTTAATTATGGTGCTGTATTGGTGTAATGGAGTTTTTCATAGCATAGCATAAACCTTTATTAAGCAACCAGTCAACAAGTTTGTGATGTGTAAAAGTGTTTTTACACCATGTTTCATTCTAAATTGAGGTCGTTTTTAAATGCTTGCAGAAAGAGACAAATACCCATAACGTCACAGTCTCGTTATTCACATTTAGTTGCATGCAGTTGCTCTCCAACCACTGCTCTGTGTTAGCAGCATACTGCTGCCACAGTTTGAATCAAATTATTTATAACAACAGATTTAGAGTGGCCCATCATGTGATTACTCATAAATTCATGTGCAGTAGCATTTTCTGTTATTATTCTTCATGTAATATTAGAGTTCATACGAAAAACACTCAAAAGTAGGTTAACAGCATAATCACAGATACTTTAATTTGTGCAAAAACTCTTTATAATATAATATAATAATGTCTTTATTAATGGCGAGGCTCAGGCCATAGGGCCTGCTCTTCCGCCTAACCACTGAATTTTACATACATTTAGAGTAGTAACATTTTAAGAGGGGATGACAAGCTGTACATTTACGTCTGGAAGAACAAACCTAGGGACCTATCCGGCAATACGCCTTAAGCGATTGAGTAAACCCAGAAAAACCTCAATCAGGATGGCGGCTTAGGGCCAAAATTCATAGAACTGAGTATGTTATACTGAGTAAGTGAAAGGGAAGTTTCGTGAAAGAGAAAAGAAAAGACGTACAGGGGAAGGGGTCAAAAATATAAATGATAAAGTTTGTGAGGGAGAGGAGAAGAAAAAAAAAAGCGAAGAAAAGGACGAAGAAGAAGTAGGCGAAAAAGTGAAGTTATTTGAGGAACGTTACAGAAGCTACGTTTAGTAAAACAGTAGCACTTTACAAAAATATACAATAATTTTACACCAGAGAAGCACAATACCACTATAAGCTAATAACAGTAATTTTAAACACAATACTGGCAGTATTAAGGAACAATACAAAGAGTGCGGGTATCTTAACATCAATTTTGTTTATGCAAATATATTGTAGTGGATATCCTGATGATGGTACAAAGATAGCTACAAGTATATTTTATCTGGAACGTCACTAATACTTTTGTATATTTTAATAAACAATTTCATAGGGTACACAGAAAAGTAATGATGCTCATAATTTTAGGTGTGAGAGGGAATAGAAGATGAGGATAGAGCAATGAGGTATGAGGTAGAATATTGAGAATAAAGAGGGGAAATAGAAAGGTGATTAACGGGGGCGGTGACCGGGCTCTTGGAAGTGGGAGAAGTCTGGAGATTGAAGAAGACGTTAACGCCGTTCTATATGTCGTTATTCCTTACCCACGTGGTTAATTCAGCTTTGAATTTGCCGAAAGTATTTAAATGCTTTAGTCTGCTGGTAATTTATTCAGGCTCAAATAGCTGTAATGGTGAATGATTTACTGAATGAAGTCGTGTTGTGACGTGGTACACAAAGCAGGGTGATTCACGGAGCCTCGATTTAGTTTCAGAGGATTGAAGTTACTTATGAGGCGTGTTGCATGAGAACCGGTTAAACTTTGTAAACAAGAAGTAGAGAGTGTAGTAACCATCTTTTGTCTAGAGTAAGCATACGAATTCTGTCAAAAATTCCGGATAACATGGTTTTGTAAATTTTTCATAAAGATCCCAAAAAAAATAAAAACGTAACGCATTGCCGTTCTGGGCTACTTGTAGTTTCGTTGTAATTTGAATGTCATGTTGGTCAGAAGAAAGTCGCAATAGTCGAAATTGCATGATAAGTGATTTGATGAGAGTCTCACGGTGTGCTACCTGGTAAAAGTGCTCGCAGGCGTGTCAGGAGTGGTAATTGAAGCAAAAACTTTACAGCAGGTGAATCTACGTGTGAGTTCCCAGCTGAGGAGTGTTGTCGATAACTACACCCTAGGTTCTTGACTCAGAACACCAAGGTAAAATGGTGTCATTAATATATGAAATTATTAGGCAAAGGAAATGAGATTTTATTCATAGTCCCATTCGAGCTGCATAACCATTGCCTGTGATTTGGTTTGGGTTTAATTGTAAGCCTAAGACGCTGCCCAGTTGTTTACGCTTCAAATCTTCATTAATTTTTTGTATGAGTGAAACAAGTGAGATGGGTGACTACTTAGATATATCTGCGATCATCCGCATTACATTTGATGACTGCAATATTTAAGTGGCATTTCCCACGTCATTTACAATAGATTAAAGTAAGGCCAGGTGGCCTAAACACGTGCCTTGAAACAACTCCGCGGTAAGCTTCAAGTCCTTGACACGGCTACACAGACAACCACTCTTTGGGTTCTGGAAGTTAAATAATTAAGAAACCATTACACGTCGCGCTGTGCAAATCCCATGATCTTTAGTTTGAGCGAGCAGGATGTCGTGATCTACTGAATCGAATGCTTTGCTGAAATCCAGAAGAAACCAAAATAGTAAATTACTGTAATCCATTGCTGTTCTCGCGTCTTCAATGACGTTTAGTAACGCGGTTCCTGTGAATTTTCCTCCGCGGAAAAACGGAAAAAAAAACCTTTGAAATTTGGCCTTGATTTTGTTTTAAAAAGTTTGGAATTTTTTTTGTTCGAAGATACTGTTCAGTTTGCTTCCGACGACCTTTTTCGAGTACTTTAGAGATAGTTTGGGAGGACTGCTAAATTGGGCGGTATTCAATAGGGTTTTTTGGTTGATGCTGTCTTGGGAATAGATGCACCGAGCCAGTCTTCCAGGATAAGGATATTGTCCCACTCATTAGTGAGGAAATTTACCGATTTCGGGATAATTGTACGTCACATCTAAGCTATTTTTTAGCAGCTTGGCATTTATACCATCGCGAAACCTGAAGCATTTGATTGTGAGACTGTTGAACGATTTTGATTATATCCCTGATTTAACGGCGAAAAAGAACAAATTTATCATTCGGATTTTATTTCTGCGTTTTGGAGAAACAAGAAGAGCATTGCTTTTTCAAGTTACGGTCAAATGAGGAACGCTTGTTTATGAACTGTGATTTAGTATTCTAGGTATTATTCGCTTCAATTTGGGGAGGACCTTTGCCTATTCCTAGATTTTTCAAATTTTTCCAGATCGTTCTCGAGTCGCTGTTTCTTACGAAGGTGGTGTGGTAATATTTTATTTTAGCGTTGCAGCATTTCTCCGTAACTAAATTTCTGAGCATTTTGTACTGTTTTTTAAGTAGTTCGCATTGTTTTCCGGAAAATTGCATACACTGCATCACGATGTTTCATTAAATTTCGAATTTCAGCAGTTAACCATGGTGCAGAAGGACGAGTTACACGCGAAAGTTTTAAAGTCGCATGCCGGTCGTAGAGTTGTGTTATTAAGTTAGTGAAAATATTTACTTTATCATCCAGTAATTCTTCTTCGTGTACAAGGCGCCATGGAAGTGCCAATCCATCTATAATAAACGCTTGCTTATCAAATTTTGAAAAATCGCGGTATTTGATTATGTGAGGTGAGTATTTAGGGCACTTTAGGTTGTAAACAAGATAAATTAGGTCGTGTTTTGAAATCCCAGGAACTGGAAATTGTCCGCGTTTTCGAACTTTGTTTACATTAGACACTATAATATGATCGATCCAAGTTTCTGTGTTCTTTGAGTGGTGTGTTGGTCCTAGAGGTAAAATTTCGAGGCACATGCTGTGGAAAAACCGCGTAAAAAACTCTGCAGAGGGAGAAGGTTTTAATAAGTTATGATTAAAGTCACCCATTACAATAACCTGTTCTCTTACTATAAACTCTTTAAGGACATGCTTCAAAATGTTACCATGTGAAAGCACCAATTGGTATGAAAGCTGTATTAATGTTTCGTACATAAATTAAAAACTTAAATATGATTCTGGTAAAATTCATGTTAGTGGTTTCTATTTAGGAAATGAGTATTACTTTTTTGTATACATACGTATATACAGAGTAATACACATCATATAGAGAGTTATGTAATGCCATGGAAAAAGATTTCAAAATTGAAATGGAAATGCACTTTTCGGGGTACCCTGATACCGAAAGTGTATTCTTTTTCCTTTTTTTTAAAACGCCTAAATGCTAGTTCTCAAACCATTTGTAGGATTTTTCCAAAATGGATATTCCATGGTCATTCTAGCATCACTAAGCGCTGTGGTTGAAAAACATTCGTTAAAATTTGGGGGTACTTTTCATGAAGCCCCTTGGATACATTTCAATTTTTTTTTTTTTAGGAAGAGCAGCGTAAAATACTTATAAAGACGATATAGGTCAGTTTTTCATTTAACTCTAAATTTTCAAAAATTGAAAACGTTTGAATTTTTGGCCCTCGAACAACAAAATGGAAGAAATTTTTTTCTCCACAGCTTGTTCATTAAGGTCCTGTACATTTTTTTTAAATTTATTTTAGTACTTTTCATGCACTATCGTGTGCAATGTAAAAAAATTAAAAAAAGATTTTCCCAAAACAAAAACTGCTTCGAATTTTTTTCTTTAAACTTTTGATAGGGATAGTTCTAAAGATAACAAATTGCTCAATTCTTCAAGAAATCATTATTTTTTTTATATCTTGTGGCTGTTTGGTTTTGTTATTGCATTTATGTGTACATGTGCTTCCAATGTCTTAAAGTTTCTCAAACTCAACAGTTTTCTGTGAAACAAAGTTCAAAACTCTGCATTTTCAAAAACACACCATTGTCATTTTCTCAAAAAAACGACTCCAAATTTTTTTCCAAACTTTTCGTGTGGATAGTGTGACTTGCATTGTTTGGGGGTGATATACAATTCATTATGGTGTATTCTTTTGTTTTTTCAAAAATTATGCAATGTAATTTATTTGATATTTCTCATGCTTTTAATATGCACATTTCCAGAGATTTATATACATTATTGCATTTGTGAGTAGGAGTGAAATGTCTTCCAATAAAGTTTTTTGGAAACTCAAACGATTTCTGTGAAAAAGAACTTTCAATTTTGCATTTACAGTAATGTTTGAACACAGTTTTCTTAAATACGGCTCCAAATATTTCAACGGAAATTTCCATGTAGGATAAGCTTTTTATATTCTTAAAGTAATATTTCAGTTCTGCAATTAAGAAACGAAAATATTGAGAATTACTACAGCACTTTGGATAGTGGTAAATGGCAGCTGCCAAGAGGAGCAAGAATGGAAAGCTAGCCCAGAACAGAGGAGCCTTAACAGAATATAAGAGCATTAATTGGAAATATTTTAAGATACCTTCTGCACTGCACTTTTCTAAAGACAATTAAGATACTAATTTCTAAAGCAGGAAACTTATATCCTTCAAATCAGGCATTTCTCATGGAAATTGAAGCCTTCAGTAATTTCAATAGGTTAGGAACAAAATATTCAACTATACAATTAAGATGTATTTATTCAGGTACATGTTGAATTTTAACAAAACTGTGAAGCATTCTTCAAAAAAAGTTAAATCAATAAATCGAGAATTATATTTATAATAGTTCTTCTATGTAAAAAACCAAAACACAAAAAGGAAACAGTCATTAGGAATGAATGTTTTATCTGAAGAGATTCTTTTGCCCCCAAGCAAAATGGGTAGGCATGCCCTTCACAGATTACACCCTCCATCTTCTACACCATTAAAAGACACTTACTGCTTTCAGCACTGATTGCTCTTTACACTTTGGATGGAATTTTGTAGTTATTGTTCAGAATGGATGTCTTACAAAAACCTACAAAGACATCAAGAAATCTGAGTTTTCAGACAGAAGGGAGGAATTCAAGTTTTTACACATCTTCAGCCTTCGAGTATTATTTATGTAATGAAAACAAAAAAAATCACAGGCTGATCTTTTCAGTTCAAAGGGTCATAAGGATCGTACTGTTCATCAGCCAGGAAGAGATCTGAAGAGCTGGAGTCACTGTCACTGTCATCAGCTTCATATGTAGTCTCGTCGGCAGGCAGAAGACCTCCCTTTTCAATTCGATCTTCTTTCTTCTTTTCCATTTCTTTTATGATTCTCAGTTGCTCTGTCACTAAAGCATTCCATTTGAAAAGCCACATCACAAACATTTTTTTAAAATATACATGATAGATGAAATTGAAAAATTAAGATCAATTAGTTTTACAATGAACATGCAGAATTCAATGAAAGAAAATATAAAAACGGTGCAAGGAGATATACTTCTAAAAAAAAGGGGGGGGGAGGAGAAAAGAAAGAAAGGTGAGAGGATCATTCTCTTTTTCCATTAACTTATTGATAATATAATTAAATTTGGATTATATAATGAAGTTAAAACAACGAAGCTCTCAGTAACTATAGGAATTTATAGATAGAGAAAAAAATATTAGTTTAAATTTTGTAGTGTTGGCTTCTTTTGAAATCTGGTGAATGAACAAGTGTTCTGAATTTGTTAATGAGACATTTAAGGGGTCTTTTTCACCAAAAGTAGGACCTGGTTCACAAACATGATTATGGAAATTAATTTAGCAAATGTCTTCGGCTTTCATTGAATGGAAACGTGAACAAAAGGTTAAAAAATTCACTAGTCTAAATTTTTTGAAAGATCTGTAGGAAAGAAGCAAACAGTAAAATTCCGAAGTCAAAACAATCAATATACCGTATTTAACCGAATACAGGACTTATGTTTTTCGAAAATATCTCAGTCGAAAAATGCGGGGTCGTCTTGAATACGCAAATTAATCATAATCGGGTTTACGTTTTACACTACCATTCCATGTCACGAAACTTGTAAATGTTGACATAAACTGGGACGGCGGTAAGAATATTGCGCGCATCTACAATACGTAATTATATTCACGTTCGTATTCTCGACGTCCACCGCGAATTTGCCAGGCAATCAAGCGATATTTTTAATGGGTTGGTGAAACGAATTTCGAAACGAATGGTATTGTACCAAACGAAACGTAACGTGAAAATAAATGCAGAGGTTGTGTTATACGACGCGAGTCCGACGATGCCCGGCGAATGCGAATCTTACATTTTGAAAAGTTAAACAGAGGCTATCAACAAGTGCGGGATGGATAGAAATCTGGCGACACAGAAGTGAACTTAGGTAGCGTCTAATGAAAGACTATGAATACCACAAATTTAGCCTGCAAAACTTTCAGAGGCCTAAAACGTCAAAAGATGGAGGGTCTGCATGGAAGGAGGACCAAAACTAAACTTGTGAAGATGATGAGGGTACTGACAAAAAACATGATTATTATTTTACGAAACAAGAAAATGATAATTCAGCAATAAGTCTCAGCATTCTCATCAACAAGGTGTTTTTCTACTCAATATGACAATTTATAATTTTATTTTGAACAAATAGTAAGAATTGATCAAAAATTGAAAGAAAAAAAATCTCAGGCGGCCTCTATAAAATTAGAGGGTTGTCGTATATTCAGGTAACTATGGTAAATACCAGCTCAATAAAACATGGGTTAAGACTGCTCATTTTTTCTAGATTTCTAATCGTTTAATCTGACAAAATTCTTCCATCCCTTAAATACTTACATCTGAGTTCTTCCATGTCACTACTATTTTCTGCATCATAATGTCTCTTCACCCACAGCAGCTTCTCTGAACTAACAACAAGACGAAGCCAATCCATTCCTAGGCAGAGAATATGAAACAGAGCTAAACACACACATTTCACAGATCCACTTCATACTTGGCCATTTGATACCTTGTCAACCAAACTGAACTTCTGTAACCAGCATGACTCAAGGCACAAAATATTAAGTGAAATGCATGGGCAACTGGCACATCTGCCCAAACATTCCCATGTCAGGGTGCTCTATGTACCTGATCCAACTCAGACTAGCCTCAATATTGAATACAAAATCAGTCAACAAAGCCAGTATATTATAAACATCAATGATTCAGATGTTAATATCTAAAGTGATTGTGACAAGTTTTATTGCATGATGTCAAGGTGTAATAAAGAAGGGAGAAAAAAGGCCAAATGGTAAATAGTTTTCTGAATAGCAAGATCTTGCTAGAAATATATTCAAGCGTTAAAATTATTTAATTCTTTACTTTACATTTAACTTAATTTGAAGGAAGGGGTGGAATCTGACAGTCAAAGTGTAGGGGCTTACCAACTTATATCCAGTGACTAAATGAAGTAAATGTATGACTGTGTTCACATATGATTCATAAAAACTTTCGAACCATTGAAGTGATGGCTCCCAAATTTTGCATAAAGGCTTTTGAGCTGCCAAGAAAAACCATTACTTTGTTCATGAATCCAAAATGCAACTCCAATTTCTTTACACAAAATTTAGTTTAATTCAAACCACAGAGCTTCTAGTGGCATTGTTGCCAGGGGGACAAAGTTGACACTGCAGGCAGAACATTAAGGTACAGGGGAGGGGGGAAAGGGAGTGGGTGTTTAGTGTTCCTGGGCATGACAACAACAACTACTACTACTACGGTGATGGGTCCCATAACTGAAGGATGTGCCCCTTTCTTGCTTAAACACGAGACGCAATGGACGGCATGCAGGAGTTTTCCCTCTTCAGCTGAGACAAACACAAACTAAGCTCCCATCACATTTCTTGACGCACGCTTGTGTGTGTGGGGAGGGGGAGAGGAAGGATCAAGGATGAGAAAGGAAAGTTCACACGCAGTCAGTGCCCCTTTGTTAGGATATTCGCCAGAGGAACCTCCGATCCAGGCAGCCTGTCCTAGAATTGACATTGGTTGTATTTTCGTTAAAATCTTAAAAATTAAGTTTGCAAAAGATAATTTTTTCATATTTGATCCACACTTTTATTAATGAAACTACATTTCTTTAATTCTTTGGTTTACCCGGCCTTTGCAGTGTAATGGAAAAATTTCAGCATACAAATCCTAATTCAAGGGTTCAATTCCCTTTCTCAGATTTTTCTTACAATATTTTTCCTCAAGTAGACAAAAGTGCTTTAAACTCCTTAAGGGAACAATTCCAATTTTTTTCAAACCAGAGAACTTTTGAAAATTGCAAAATCAAATCTTCTGAGCTTTGGCTAAAGTGTGTTTTTTATGACATAACTGAAGAATTACTAGGATTTAACTAGCAATATTATAATTTTATACATACATAAAAAATATTAAAAGGAAGAATGGAATTTTGTAGCACTATAAGTTACACTTAATAATGCATAATTGGCTACTTGAAGCACATGTTGTAGCATTTATTGTGGATGAAAATTCTGTCAAATTATCTAAAATATATTGAGCATCTACATTACCAGCACTAATTTAGACTTATTTCCTTAATGTTTACAAACTGAAAAGTAATGGATATTTTTCACTTACCAATCAACACTTTCTGCATCTTGATACGAACAAAAAGTCCCCCAGAATGTGTCAATGAAGTGGGGACAATGGGCCCGAATAAATGTAAATCAAACGAATAAACATTATCTTTCACAACAGTCCTGGAAAATGCAAATTAAAATAAATTTCATGCTATACTTAAGTATTAAATAAATATTCATTATTTTAAAAGATAACAAATGTTACAATCTAGAAGAACATCTCAATTCGAAATGAAGAGCTCTATGGAATAAGGGGCTATCCCACACTGACATAGTTCTAAGATAACACGGGTTTTACCTAAACTTTCTTTTTATAACTCAGTACAATTTTGAACTTTTAAACACACTACATTTGCATAAAAGCCTATATTGGATTTAAATGACATATCATACTAAAATAATATTTGTTGTTTTGTATAATGTTAATAACTCAATTTTACAAAAAATGTGGGACAGCCACTTGTTCTATTGAGCCTTTCAAATATTAACTTTGCTGTCACATATACACTGTTTGTAAAATAGAAATATATAAATGTAAAATAAGTCATTTCAAAAACTTTGCTTGTCCAAGCCTTTCCATTAGCAAAATTCAATGAGCAAATAGGGTGCATATGAACAAATTTAGGAGTTGTACTATACAAAATTCTAGAAGTTGTCCTAATTAGAAAAAGAAAATCATACTTTACATTAGGGGTGGACCAAGAAAAAATATGAGGAATTACATTTTGATGCCTTAGAATGTCTGGTGCAAAATTTTGAAATCAATTTGTTATACAATTTACACAATATTTATCACTTGTATTTATTGAATACCACCTTTTAATTTTCATTTGAATTAAATTTTAAAATTTTGAAGAAGTTATATTATTATAATTTTATTTATTCTTAATGCAAAAAGAATAATACAATAATAACATTTAGTTTTTTAAATGGAAGAAGAAAAGAAAGGAAAAAACGAGTATGTGACGTTTTGTAAAACAGGCATGTGAAGTTTTTAATGGAAAACTAAGAGAGAAGCTTTTTAAACAATATTATGCATCTGAGGCATTTCAAGTTGCTTTTACAGTGGGGTGGGTATTCAAAACACGGTTAATATTTTCTTGTTCCCTGCTCTAAGATGGGTTCTGAATGGCATGAGAAAAAAAAAGTTGTACAATCGATTTGGATTGTACTAACTTATCATCGAGGGATGTGCAAGTGATTATTTATTGTTTTTGAGTATGTCAACTACTATTGCCAGTCGTCAAAGTGTGGTGCACATTATGACAGGAGGTGGCACAATCTCTCGCCTGTAGAAACACATGTGGCCTTGGCTACACCTCAGACTACATGAGACAATTTCACTTGAATGCCATGGCTGTTTACACAAAATTCGCTACAAGGCAGCCTAGTATGATAGGTTCTATTTGCCTCAACATCACATGTGAAAGTACTAGTCCAAGAAAACCAAGTATCTGACACTGATTAGGTACCTGGCTCAGCCAGTTGAGTCACTCCCGTTTAGACATTTCAAGTTTGTAGAATCTATCATTTTCAATATTATTGGTATTATAATTATCATTATTTTTGCTATTATTGTTATTATCCATAGTTTTGTTCAGAAATTTGCATGACATTTATTAATTAAATTTCCGTACACTTCAGTTTGCTTAAATGCAGTATGTGTTGCTTGTACAAGGAACAATAGTTTGAAAGTTTCCTCATGAAAATTGCTTACAATGTTCTCAAATGCTTTTCTCACACATCACCTTTACTGTCCTCAAGAAGCAAAGCAGAGCCCGTCAGAGTCATTGCTCTAACCTGTGACTAGCCCAATGCAAGCGAACTCTGGATGCTTGAACTTACAGCACTTAAGCAAGTGAATGGAATGCCTTGCTGCAGAATAGAATCTATTATCAAAAATTCCCCACTGTCAGTACTAAAAAACTATAGACTTCACTCTCAACGATGCTGCAGATGCAACGGTAGTCACAAAGTCATTGTGGCGGGTGTGCCATTGAGAAGTTGAAATTTATTTATTTATTTATACTAATGGCAACAGAAAACAGACATAGCTGCAATTGAGATATATTACAAGTTTGAATTAATTGACGGTGAAGTGAATGTTAACAATTTATAATATAAAACCACAGGTGAGAATAAAGTCCTTTAAATTTGGAGACACTGCTGACTGAGACGAGCTCTTACAGAAGATTATTCCAGTAATTAACTATCCGGTTCGCGAGGACGTTTTTGTAGGTGATGTGTTTGAATTTAGCCTTCTTTAGCTTCACATTGTGTCCTCTAAGGTTACCTCTAATTAAAATGAGATTCAACATTGATAGTATTGCTTTTTGAGTCTTTTGAACTGATATTCTTATTTTCAAATATTTTGACATAAAAATGTGTATCCTATAGTTTTAGAGAGTTGCTGAACACAAATGAAAAGCCTATATTGATTTTTCTTTAAAAACAAGTTACATTCTTTTTCTTCAAAATTTAACTTACCAGAAATGTACATTATCCTCATCCCATCTCAAGTAGTAATTATCCACCCCTGGGAGATCTACCATCAGCCACACAAAATATGCATCCTGGCGCCAATAAACAAGAGGTGTTCTTGTGATTCGAACCAAATGTGGCATGATGCAGTCATCTTCCAATGCAGAATTTGAATCACATTCTTCATTTTCAACACTTAAACTGCAAGAAGGATTGCACTTTTGTGAAGATGTCATTGGATTTTCTTGATTGCAGGTAGAATCCTCTTCTTTTTTAGACTCGTCCAATGTTGCACAGTTACGAGATGAACTATCTTCCTCAAGCTTTTCCTGATCTTTAACAACCATTGTACTTGGGGCATTTGAGGTTGCAGCTTTGCTTGTTGTATTATAATCTTCCTATATACACAATACAAAACAAATATAATAAATGCAAGAACACTCTCAATCAGTAAACCATATATGTGTATTAAAGCGTCAGCATCTACACTCGAAGTGATTAGTATGGGTACCCACCCATGTCAGTCATATGCTACAAGTAGGAACCAGATTTAAATGCACTAATAATCCATAAAATATGTATGCATTTACACAGTCAAAACTGCAAAAATATACACTAAAACATACTCTATGCAGGACCTACATTTAACCCATTATAAATTTGTTTCTCCTGAACATTCATCTGATACTTTACTTTACCACACTCCTCAAAGAGATTATGAGGAATGGAGCAAATAATAATATTTAGTTTCCACAATAGAAAGTTGCTGTTAATTAGTTTCATATTAGAACCACTTTGAACATAATTCCTAGACTTTGCAGCCACCTACATATAATCAAACAGGTAGTTCCTTTCTTTCCCACATTTGCAGGGCAAGGCCTTCTGTGCTTGGTGGGATATAAAGTCTAGTGTGTTAATTCATCAGCATTAGATGCCTTAGATGGCACATAATACTGGAAACGATTGTGACTTTCCTGTTACAAATCGTACATAACTCAAATGCACAATGTTTATATTAGCCATAATGAACCTGGTATATAAAAAATAGTGTTTCCAAAAATCATTATTAAAATAAATAAATCAGATTTAAAACAAAATAATATCAGTATTCAACCTTTAACATGATGGATTTAAAGTTATTGTTAGTTTTAATCATTTTAGTGTATTACTCTAAATAAGTGGTCTCATCTTTTATCACAATATTTTAAGAATACCAGTGTAAGAATACTCATACCTGTGATGAGGCATGAGTTTTTAATGATCATTGCTATACCTGCCCAGTCTTTCAGAAGCGACAAGGTCCCAACAAATCAGACCAAGCCTTCATATTTTGACCAGGTTTTCAGCAGTTGGGACTAGTGTGCATGGCTTAAGAAAGATATTGGACAGATCTAGCGATGACTTCACAAAACTACCACGCCTCACCATTTTTAAGCATAATCAGTAAACATTGGGTGAAAATATTAGACTGTTGTTGATTTCATTCATCCATTCATATTGTAAACACAAAAACTGATTTTTGTATTTTATACAAACTTGTATTTTCAGATTAAAAATTATTTTTGAAAATCTGGACCATGTCTTGAGTTTATTAGGCTTTACGTTCACCTGTAAATATCCTTCTGTTATCTGCTACTGAATGAAAACTTTGTTACATGTATTTGGGAGTCCTGGAGAAAGTTTTCGAAAACTATACTGCAGAAAGGAACCATACACTTTAGAATGAACAGTAAAAATGTATGTGAGAGGTGTGTACAAGAAAAATAACTGAAGGTATTGCTAAACCATAGCCTACTAAATGAGACAGTTGCAAGATTACAACAAATAATAATACTCAAGAAGGAACTATCAGCACTAAAAGATGAAAATGGACATCTGAAGAATGAAGCACATGGTTCTGTGGCTGGAAAACATGGAGTAAACACACAAGGGAGTGATTGGAGAAAACATTGGAGAAAAAAATCTTACAATGTAACAAATCACAATAGCAGTTTTGAACTATCATTAAGTAATTACTATAAAGAGCTAAATGATATAAATGACAAAAAAAAAATGGAACATAGGAATAAGAATACAAAACATGTTAAGATTAGTAGGCATAAAAATCCCAAGCTGAAGGCAAAAGGATTAAGTTCTATAGTGTCAATTTATGGTGACAGTCACGCTAAAGAACAAGCTGTTAAATTAAAAAACAAACATAGTGAAAATAGTGAGGTTATGGGGAATGTAATGTAGCATTGCGTAGTGACCCACAAGATGAAGAGGACCAAGGCTTTATGGAATCCTTGATTCTCGTGAGTTTACAGTTTGAGTTCTGCCACTCTGTTTGCCATGCACTGAGAATACGTTTGATAAACAGATTGGTATCGTTTGTTGGGACTGAGAGGTTGTCTACCTCAGTTTTCTTTGTGGTGAGCTTTGCTGACTGGTCAGCAATTTCGTTTCCTATTATCCCAGTGTGACCTGGGATCCCACAAAAACCAAATTATAATGACGAACCAGTAAATTATGGATTAGGTGTTGGATGATTATTGTCAGAGGGTGACAAGGAGAGAAGCAGGAGATAGATTCGAGCGAGCTTTTTGAATCACTGCAGATCACAGCTTCTTTTAATGTCATCGATTCAGTGAACATAAGTTCCTCCAAGAGTGCATATTTTTCTGCAGTATAAGCGCTGCATGAAGAGCCTAGTCAAAGACTCTGCATGGCACTGTGGCAGAAGAATGCACACCCTACATAACCATTCTGGAAGGAACCATCAGTGTATCTGAAGGTATAGCAGGGATACATGGATTTCGTCTCCTGCAATTCTGCCAGAAATGTACAGGGGGGAGTTGAGGATTTGAGGAAGTGTGATAATCTCAGGTCTATTTTAGGCCAAAGTAGCTTCCAAGGAGGAACAAGGTTTCGGGGGGTTTCACAGGGATGGGGAAACGATAGTCTAAGTTCAATACAATATCCTGCGACAGGTGAAGAACTGCTTGGCAGGAAGGCATATTTATGGCTGATACTTTCGCACCATAGGAGCCGATTACAATATCTCGCTTCAGCTCAGGGAAAGTTCACTGGCCTCGGCCAAGAGGCATTCAATGCGACTTGTGCGGTAGGCGCCTACTCTGATCCATATAACAGCATTGTGTATGGTATATAATGAACGGAGGGTTGATGGAGACGCTGACCCATAAACAATACACCCATAATTTAAGATAGGACGGATGATAGTCCTATATAGGCACAAAAGGCATGCTCTGTCTGCCCCATGATCCACCAGTAAGGGCACAAAGAAGGTTCAATGGAGATACACAGCATTTCTTTAAGTTTTGAATGTGCTTTCGCCATGTTAAACTCTTTTAAGCATTTGATAATGTATCTGGTCAGGTCCTTGAGCAGAATCTTTTGCACAAGCGAGGGCAAGGAAAACTCATCCATGGAGAAAGGAGCATTGTAGTCTTCCTCCACACAACTCGAGAAATCTAGTCTGCAGTTCTCATTTCTTCTTTTGGTTTTCAGAAAGCTAGGAGAGTAGTGTACGGAGCAGACTCCTCCTGAGCACTGCTCGACGAGCTAAGAGATGGCTCAGAGTCTCAGGAGTCGGGGTTGGTGGTCGGAGTTTTAAGGAACGATCTTTTTTAAGTTTGTCTGGGCCAGAAGGCCGAGTGACATCAGCCTTCATGCGGGGTTGAGAAGTGGATTCTAAGTCCAACAATTAATATTTGGATGAAATTATTTTCCTGCCTTGCAGAGGCAATGTCTACACATGGGAGGGTGGGTTCTGTAAAGGGGGGGGGGGAGTGGAAATAGAAGGGGTAGAAGAAAAAAGACAAGGACGTTATAAAAGAACGAGAATGAATGATTGGGAAGATCAAGACAGGTGAGCGAAAGGAATACTTGAAAGCCCTCAGGATATGGACCTACCCACCTTGACGGGTTATTAAGTAGGGAAAGCATGAGTGATATTCTTAATAAAATCACACTTATTGAAAAATGAACATTTCAAGCTAGTATACTTTCAGACTACATAGTAAAAATATGCATTTGCACTGAAATCCTGTCCCAAGTTATAAGGCATTCTCTTTGGTTTTATATTAACGCATTTTCTTGAAATTAATATTAACTCGTTTAAATTTTAAACTATGTATTAATGAAATGTGCTGTAATCAGTGGCGCACCCAAGAGGTGGGCTCTAGGGGCTTCAGCATCCCTCCTCCCTTTTCATTAACAATCAAAACGTGAACACTAAAACTTCTTTTAATAGAACTTTTTTATTAGGCCCGGTTTGGAACTTTGTAAGGAAATGAAATTTTCTCCAAAATCTTTAAACACCTCAAATTATTTAAACAAAAGCTTTGAAAAGTATAAATTCAACAGAAGTTTTATTAACAAATTTGTGGAAAAAACAAAAACACACACCAATACCACAATAAAAACTTTCAATTAGTAATGTAGGGTTGCAGTTGAAGCATAGTTCCACCCAGATTATCATATTTTTATGTCCTCAAATTTACATTGGCACCAATCCATGCCAACCACGCATTAAATACTAGTGCACCCACACAAGTACAAGCTTAGTATTTAAGGTATTGCCTTAAATTTTGCAAAATGTTGTTTCTCAAAGAAATTTGAACAAAAATACAAATTTCCAATAATATTCTTTAAGTGTGCACAGCGTCACAGAAAAGTTTACAAAAACTATTGCAATTTACAGTCCTTTGACTTCGTGTGGCAAGGCAAAATATCTAAAGGGATTTTTGCCATTTATAAGCAAAACTTTAATATCAAATAGCTGGTGAAATAAAAGGTATTGCACAATGACTTAAATGAAAATGAGACATTGAGAGTATGAGGTGTCAGAAAATCAAAATGTTAATTGGATTTAAGTAAATTTTAAGAAATTTAAGTTTTTTTTTGTTTTTTTTTAATAAAGCACAAAAATATAATAGGACATTGTTGATACAGAACAAAACACGCTTGATGCTTGGTTACAGTGCAACAAGAGCACATCAAGGAAGAAATATAACAAAGAAATATGTGAACTGGTGAGGCCAGATAGAAGGTGTAAGCGAACAATTTTATTCACAATGATGTCATATTCGGTAGGGTTAGGATCGATGGCCATCAGGGCGTCAATTGAAATTTTTTTGTAATTTGACCAAGAATATAGAAAATGGACATGTGGTCAGGAATGGATGTGTAATGGAAGAAAAGAGAAGTAACGTTTACGCGATTTATCGGAGACAAGACTGTAATATCTGTGAGATAATTAGGTCGTGAATAATAGTAGAAATTAATTAGTTGAAATGTAGTATGGATGTAAGAAGTGCTCTATGTGAAAATATGGAACAGTCATTGACATCACGAATAATGCCAAGTTTGCTGTAAATTCTTCAAAAGGGAAGTTTAGGAAACAAGTGACAGAAAAACATTAATGAAGATATTATAGCAAGGCCAAGTTATGTTTAGATATTAAGTTAACATTAAGATTGAGAAAGAATTATTGTGTGGATTTTGTTTGTAGAAATTCAATGACCATCAAACAGAAACAGTAGAGGAATATAAAGATAAATTGTTGAACGATAAAATTAATCAAAACGAAATTTGAAATAAGTTAATTGTGGCAGCCGACACTGTTGCTGGCAATTCATAAACAAAATTTATAAAATGTGTAATTTATCAGCAACAGTAGTGACAAACCTATCCTAACAATAAATAAATTGTTTACCACCCGAATACTCATATGAGTGGTATTTTCAGGCCCATGAAGACAAGTATAGTACTCTAGGCTTAAATATGCTGACGTCTGTAAATATTACCAAAGGAATTAAGATTTACTTCAATGGCAGGCCCAATATGAGGCAGTAAAATATACTAAATAGTTTAAAAGTAAATTATTAAAAGAGAAGGAGAAATTAGTGATTAATTATCAATACATTGAGAAAGAACCTTTTTGTTAACGCAAAAAAAATAAAAATTGAAGGTAATGCATGGTGTTTATCTTTAGATAGTACTTAATATGATGTAACCAGAACCTGTATAACTAATGAATTTTTTTAACACAGCAAATTGAAGGTTAAAATCAACAATCACAATTATATAAATGCTTGAATTTTCTTCGTTGATGGGACAGTAAAATGGGACTGGGTACAATGCAACACTTGCTCTGCATGTCTGTTTTCAGGAACTACCTTTAAGCACTTCTCTCTTCTAAATAAATAGACTGAAATCCATGCTCACATTCAATTAGGCCAAAGTTCTGTAAATCTAGAACGTGCATTAAAATACTGAGGTCAGAAACAGCAGCTACATCACATTAGGACAGTCAAATAAACACTATGAAATTATATGTATATAAGCCTACCATAGATTTCACAAAGAACTCCTTAATTTCATCCTCTGTGATTGCACTGAAATCAAAGCTGGCAAATGTGTTTTCCAAGCGTGCTTCAGTGCTGGAGGCAGTGCTTTCAAGGGAATATGCCAGAGAAGAGGAGTTAACCTCACTACACTGAATATTACTACATTCTGATTGTTCACAATCAAAGGTATCTTCAAAAATTACTTCTGTCTCATTCAATGATTTAAATGACTTTTCTTCATCCTCCTCCATTTCATCATCTTCTGACTCACTAGAACAGTTACGTTCCAAAGGGGATGTCAAATGGCTAAAGTCAAGTCCCTGTAGCAACAATTTCTGCTCCTCGCTCTGTGAAGCCAGGCCCCAGGCTACAAGGCTGTTGTTAAGTAATGCTTGGCCATGTGGTGTCACTTCAATCAGAGCTACATGGTACTTGTAGCCACCAGTACAGTCTGCAGGTTTAATCTTGTCCAATACCTACAAGTAAATGAAAAATTATTTTTGTGAGAAGATTCACATATTTTTTGAATGCACCGTTTTTAATGTTATTGCCGATTACGTAAGTTACATAAAAAATGAATGCGTCTAAGTTTATCACAATAGAATAATTTTTATTTTGAATCTTAGTTTATTAATTTCAATTTAACTATTAATACTTCTATAGGGACACAAATATTACTGCTTATATTTGATAAGGCTATACTGCATTTTCTATGGAACTCTTTAGTACAGTTAAATTGATGAATGCGAGCTGCAATTTTATACATGATATGAAATGTTCACGTTTTTAATTGCTGATCTTAACTAAAAACTCCTCATCATATGTTTGCAGTTGTTAAATTTTATGATCGATTCTTTGACATGACGAAGTTAAAGAAGCCACAAATGAGAACATTAAATAATTTATCTCATAACATTAAAACAAAATCGTCTAGCTAAATTGTTATGTACATAGTATGGTTAGCAAAATCCTACCTTTGCATATAAAAGTTTAACCGCATCCACTGTTCCTGCCTTGGCTGTAATACCATAGAGAGCATCAATGGATTTCTCACTCCATCTGTCACCTTGGTCAGGACTCACACCAGCAAAGCAACATTCAATAGCCTAAACAAGACACAAAAAACAAGTTCATTTTTGCAGACTTGTAATCACTATATTATCCATTTTACTTTCTACATATTACTACATATTATGTAGAATAGAGAAAGTTATGTAATGCTGTTGCGAAAAACTGCTATTTTTTTGGCGAATAAAGTTGTAATTTAGTTCTTTGACATCGAAAAAATTTATAAATTTTGTTTCTTTATGCAGTAACGTGCATGTCACACATCTAATACAATTTGTAGTCAGAATCTGCATTTTGTGAATTCTTAATACGGAAAAATTTGTTCATGGCAAAATGTTCATCTGTTAACTGGTGGCAAGATCTGAAGGCAAGATTTTCACCAAAAGTGATATTCCTTGATCAATTTGGCTGTTGCAGCTCCTTGAATTTGAAAAAATGATTTTGTATTTTGGGAATACTTTATATGATGTCCCATTGACATTTTTACTTTCCCATATACGTATGTATATACATATGCAAGACATAGTGCTGCAGCCGAAGACAGTGTTGTTTTTTCTTTTTAACACAAAAATTCGTATATCAAGTTTTTGAAAAAGGAAAATTTGATAAATCTTGTTATAATATGTAGTAAATTACTCCCTCTAACACATTTTGTACACAGATTCCAGAAATTGTGGGTTGTTGATACCAAAAAAGTGTTTTTCTTCAAAACTTCCATCTGTCTGTAAACAAAACTAGTGCCTAAACTATTTGTACAATTTTTTCCAAAATGGATATTCCCTGGACAATCTACAACTCAAAGCTCTGCAATTTTGAAAAACATGCTTTAAATTTTTTTGTATGAGTACTTTGAATGTAGTTCCTGAAACATTTTCAAAATTTTCTCAAAAATGGCTCCAATTTTTTTCTTTTTTTTTAAAGCATAAAGTAAAAGACATTTATAAAGATGGCACAGTCCATTTTGACTGTTGACTCTTAAATTTTCAAACATTGCAAAAGATTTAATTTTTTTCAGCATCTTCTCACAACTACAAAATGGAAGAGATTTTTCCTTCAGATGACATTTGTTTTCATTAATTAGTTCTTTAATTAAGATTATGTCCAGGGAAAATGTTGGTAGTTACCGCACAATATTGTGTGAAATAAGGGCATTATTAAAAAATTCAAGAACAAGAATTTCTCAAAAATTTTTCTTAGAACTTTTGGTAGTGATAGTGCTAAATGTACTGTAACACGTGGCGTAAATGCCACTTTGAGCCATTATTTTGTTTTTCAAAAATTTACAAATGCAATTTTTTTTACATCTCTCACACATTGTTAATAGTAACATTACCGGCGATTTGTATACATACATTATTACATTTACGAGTAAATGTGCTCCAAATAATGTCTCAAAGTTTTCTATGGATGTTCTACAGATGTTTTAGGCGTTAGTGGTGTTCACAGACAGACATTTTGAAAAGAACCAAATGGTTTTGGTAATGCACCCGACCATTTCAGAGCAGCAGGGCAAGCTGCTGAGATCAACAATACGGCGAAGTCAGAAATGGATCGCTCGAATAATGTAAATAAGATCTGCAATTGTATTAAAGGTCTTAGTTGAGGCCCTTGAGACCTTGTAAGTTGGACACCCCTGTTATAAAGGATATTTTCATTAAAAAAAAAAAAACATTCCATTCTCATTAGTAACCCTTAAACGTTAAATTGAAAGTATATATGAGCATTAATTAATGGACTTTAAGTCTAAAAACTCACCTGAAATGGTAACTGCGTAATCAAATCCTTAGGTAAAGGTACAGCTTCACTTCTGGACACAGTGGCTCTATCACCATGGTCCACAAAGAAGAGATCCAAAGTATCATTTTGTGAATTTTCAACATGGGCTCTGTACCATCTAAAGAACAAAAACAAATGATAACAATAATTTTAAATTACCTGAAATTACTGTACGTTACAAAAAATAAGTAATTAATTGAAAGTGTTCAGTATTTATGACAAGTTTCATAAGTCATCCAATACAATATGAGGTAAGAGAACTATCAAACAAGGTCATTAGGCCAAGTTTGAAAGGATGGATGGTCTACGGATGTTAGGACACAAATATTATTCATTTTATCCACTTTGTAAAAATTCTAATGTTCAATCATTTTTGCTCAAATTTGACTATCCTGTGAAAGGTGATAAGACTGTCACAAATAGAAGTTAATAGAAGGCTGTGGACTAATAGATCACTTGTGTGAACACTTTTCCTTTGCATTATAAACTGATCATTGTTGCTGGAACAAAATAAATCCCTAACCTCTACAACTGCAAACCCTGAACTGACACTCTAAGGTATTGACAGTTGGCACTCAACCCAACTGGATGGCGAAAGATTTGCAGAACGATGGGAACTTCATCAATGTGACTGTTTTAGAACCTGTCAAAAAATCGTCCACTGGTCTGAACTAAGCATATTTTGTGTGAACTATATATTCTCATTTTTCCTCGTGAATTCATAATTTAAGAAGTAAATTTAGAACCTCTTATCTTCTGGAAATCTTCCAATGCAATAATCGCCTGCAAAGAGTGTTCTGCTGTTTGAATCCCTCTCTTTGGCAAGTTTGGTGAGTTTTTTATCCATCTTATGTACCCTAAAATGCAAATAAACATTACAATAAATCAACATTATTAATTGTAAATAAAAATAAATTAAAATTAATTTACATGTTTCACAGACTTACAGATCTTCAAATTTTTCTTGCCGAACATAGAATCTGCCTGGATGATCACCAACAACGAAATAAACAAGTGTAAATTCATCAGCAGGTAGATGAGCCCAGCAAACATCAAACTTTTCAGATTTTTCAATGTGCAATGATGTATCTACAATTGTAACAAATTGAATTTCAACAAGCATAAGAATTAAGAATTTTCTATTACTATTAATGAGCACACAAAAATATATGCCCATTTCTGATTATCTTCAAGTAACAATGAGGCAATCTGAAAACAACTACAGTGGGACGTTGATTATTCAAACTTATTGGGACCAGATATAGTTTGAATATTCGATAATTCCAATAGCCGAACATAAAAATGGCAAATGTACATAAAATGGGGTAAAAAGTGTTTTTCTGCTAATAATAAACCTTTTGAGTTCTGAAAGCATTTATTGTATGATTTGTCAAAGTCAACTGAAGTCAGATGATGGACTATAGTACAGTATTGTGACACATAAGAATGTCACTGGGGTGTGATACAATGGAATTGATGCGTTGAGAATGTTAAAATACAAGGAATATGCATAGCATAGCAATGAACTAATAAACTTACAGGCATGCCGTGGTAGATGCTAGGAACAAGAACTGTACTGTCGAGGTACGGTGTCTAACATGGAATGGACTGGTGTCTAACATGGAATTGATCAGAGGAAGGCTTTGAAAATTTAGCTTGAGTAAAAAGAAGCAAATTCTTTTTTCACAAAAGTAGCCAAGCAGTTCAGATGGTAATGAACACTATAGCTTATTAATTTTGCCATTGTAGATTTATGTTGTGGATGAATGTTTGTTTGACCAGTCGGTAATAGTGTAAGCTAAGCAGTATTGTTCATTTGAGTTTTAAGTGAGTTAACGTTTGCATTTTTTAATTATAGTTACATTTGTAGTCTTGCAGGAATTTTGCACTTAAAATTATTTAGACTGTGTGTTTGTGAGTTTACATGAGGTTAGTTCCGTAGTGGGAATTTTAAATTGTTAGTTTTAAGGAAATAGTAGTAGCGAATAGAGGTTTCACTCGAAGCCTAGTGAGGAAAAGTCGCAATGCGATTATATAAAGCAGTTGTAGGGATTTTCCAAATAGCAGGCTGTATAATTACAGGCAGGCTTACATAAACCACACCAGAGGAGGATCCAGGCATTCCCTTTTGGAGAAGACGCTGACATTGAACAAACCGAGAAGACATTCTGTAAGCTTATAAACTTTACCAAAGCTGTATGGTTTAAAAATTAAGAAGTCTTAGAATCATTAATGAATCACAAGCTCAAAACATGTAATTTGAAGTTTACAATGAATTGCCAGCAATTCAGTAAGAAGTAAATTTCATAGAAGTTCCAGGAAACGTGATGTCTTTACAGTCACACATCCATCTGCAACAGCTAATGTGACATATGTTGTACATTGGACTCGCACAAGATTTGAAAGAAAAACAGAGCTAGCCAAACTATGTTATTAGAGTAATTAACTTACGAGCATAGCAGGGCAAATTAAATTAGAAGTATGATAATGCATGTTATAGTATCTCATTAATATTTAATCACTGTCAATCATATCTGGGATCATTCTCAATATTCGGTATTACAAAAGAAAATTAATACAAATAGTATATGGTACCTCAAAGGAAGAAAAAAACACACACAGAGAAAATACGAGTTTGGATATTTGAAGTTTCAGATGATTGACTTTGGATAATCGATGTCCCACTGTATGTTGCATCAAGAGCTTTGCACTTACTAGATGGAGCGTACTGAGGAACTTCTATCCCAGCCCTTACACAAGCTTGACTAAGCAGCTCCAGATGTTGAGGGCTTTCCACAGCTAGCTGAGCCTCTAACAGTTTCCGACGTAATGAGAATATGATGGTGTTGGTCTTTAATGTGACCAAGTGCTCATAACACTCTAGAGGATCTAACCAAAGTGTATGACGAAGACTCAGTTTGATCTGAAAAAGTCACTTCATTAGTAAGAGAAGATATGTACATATCAGAGTAAAAATGATTAGGAAAAGGGTAATAAAATAACTTTTCAAAAGATCCTTCTTCAGTATTAGAAACTAAATTACTAACTCATATCCAGTTTTGCTTATTTGTATGTGTACACCGTCAATAAAAACTGTCTGAACAAGCCATTGAGATCCTAGTTGCTAGATCAAATATATAATTTACATATACCAGGCAAATCACAACTCCATGAGGGATGAAAAAAATCAGTTAGAAAACAATGACAAGCATTGACAAGCTTAACATGAACACATGATACAAATAATGCGCCACGAAAGTCTCTCCACACCAAATCAGGGCCTCCTATTAAAAATGGAATGTTAGTAACAACAGATGGGAAACAAGTTAAGAGGATTGCCCTTCCAGCATCTATTATATTTACGGTGAGTACACAATTAACAATCCAGTACACAATTAACCAGCAAGGTGACAGTGCGGAGACACTTTCCTGGTATGATAAAAATATAAGTTAAATGTAACAATGCAGCTTTTATATGCTCTATGCTTCTTCAATGTGTCCAAACACTTGTTTGCTTAATCAAAAACACACCAAAGTAGGATTTTCATTTTCCTGCAACTTCATTGGATTGTCTATTTATTTTTATTTTATTAACAAGAAGGTTAAAATTAGCAGCCAGCAGCAGCAAAAAATGCTGCTGTTGAATGTGGAAAATGGTGTCCCGGAGCAGCAAAACTTGGCTGCTATGAACTGGAACACGTGAATACTGAAGATTCTTCCTTCCTTCCTTCCTTCCTTCCTTCCTTCTTGCATATCAGCTGTTATAAGCAGTGGGGAAACACTTGTATTACAGAGTATAAGAATTTAGTTGAAACTTAAAATTTGAGTAATAACAGATTAACACAAATAATATTTTTATTTTTCACTCAAAATCTAAATAATTTCATTGTTTCTGTATCTTTCAGTCTTCCAGGAAATGAAACAAAACCTTTGATACCTCTCACACAACCAGAGGTTGCTTAGTTTTCCCTCAGTTTAGGCATCCATTCAAAATTTTCCCTGAGATTTATTAAATATAATTGTTAAACAGGGGAGGCCAAAAAATGTCTTGATTGTTTATGATGAGAAGGATACCACTGTATGGAATAATAAAATATAAATATAACACAAAAAAATATAATAACATTAAATATTTTCCCTTACATTTATTTAATTCTGAATACTAGATAATGTTAACTTTAAAATGTCCAATAGCCCATCCTATAAAAATTTGGTCTTCCAAAGGGCTTACCACTGTCCCCACTCCTTGCACACAATTTTCATTAACAGTTTAGAAGAATTTCTTTGAGAGTAAACATCCTCTTATACAAAAACCAATGAAGATGACATTTATAGCTCTATAGTCTGGCCTAACAATAATAATAATAATAATAATAATAATAATAATAATAATAATAATAATAATAATAATAATTTAATTTATTGAGTCACATATACAATTACAATCGTGTGTGACTAGTCAAATATGATATAAATACATCTTGGGAACAGTGAATGAAGTTACATTTATTTTTAGTGTCCAGAAGCAAAAGAAGGGGCCATCTCAGCATTTGCTCAAAGGACCAGGGAAACTGGACAAAAAACCTGATGAAGATGGGGTCATTGGCCTAGTCATTTTACAATACTTGTTACAGATATATTAAGATATTCCATAGGAGACAATTATTTTTAGCAGCAATTAGTTGAACATTTGACTTACTTTAATTTAATTTAAAATATTTTAACATTTCAAGATTTGTTACACATTTCATTTTTCAATAATAATAATATAATAATATAATAATAATATAATAAATATAATTTAATAATATAATAGATAAATTATTACTTATAATATATAGTATACAAACAGTACATGATAAAATTATGTAATGGCTAACATATGGTTAACAGTGTTAGTATATTCCTTGATAAAATCTTGAAATGGGGAGGAAGCAGGTTATGGCTAGATTTTTTCCTATTTCTACACCTAGTCCTACTGCAGCACCTGAAATCACATTGCACATGTTAGTCGACTACTTAGCCATTTTGTTGGGTTTCTTAATGCCCGACACCCCTCCATAAAATTCACTACAGAACTGGGAATTGGAAACAAATTCATTAATTTCTTGGACCTAATCATCTTTAAGGCAGACAACAAACAGATTTTCAATGTTTTTAGAAAACCCACACACAGACACTATGATCCACAACACTTCTTCTGACAAACATACGGCTTTCCATACCAAAAGAAACAAACGCCAAGAAAAACATAGTTACTGCCAATAAATAGAGTCCCACTTTCATTGACAGCATACCACACAGCAAATTAAATAAGAAAAAACTGAACAAACATCAACACCTCACTCATCCAGAAACCTTCAAAACTTATTTCTATTGTTTTTTTTTTTTCCCCAAAAATATCACAAAATGTAGCCCACATTCTTCACAAATACAATTTTTACATTCCCTTTATCACACACGAATCCCTCAAACTCGTGTGAACAGATGCAAATAAGATACAAAACTAATAAATATTTTAAGTTAGAAGGGGATTTTAAAGAGCTAGAGACACACTATGATCCAAACTTTTGGTGCCAAAGAGTGATAATTTGCACATTTCGATTTTGCTTTCACCCCAGAGAAATCAAGACAGCAATTTTTCAAAAAACATTCCATAACAAAACTAGACAACACTAAGAAAGATAGAACTAACACTCTGCTAAAAGTGGAAACATGGAATTAAATATGGAACTTAAGAAAAGAAAGAAAGCTAGACATAACTGCCATTACTGAGACGAGAAAGAGAGGGTCTAAAGAACTAGAAAATATTATTATTTATTCTGGAATAGGGAAATAAGAAAATGCTGAAGCAGGAGTAGCCTTAATAGTAAATAAGAAATGGAAAGATTTGATAGATGAATGTAACTGGATATTCCCAAGACTAATAACAATGAAAATAAAAGAGAACAAACACAAACTAAATATAATAGGAGTATACACTCCAGTTGAAGGATGGGCAGAAGAATCTGACTGGTTCTACAAAGATCTACAACAACTGGTAGACCATATACATAAAGATGAGCTTCTCATTATATCTGAAGACGTTAATGACAGAATTGGTGATAATGAAATACCTCCATGCAAAGGCCAAAATGAAAGGAAAAAAAGGAAAAGAAAAGAAAAAAAAAAAAAACATAAACGAAAGTGGGAAAATGCTACTTAACATTTGCCTATTCTACAACTTTGGGGATAAAAAATAGTTTTTTCAAACATAAAGAAATCTACAAATTCACTTGGGAAGCAAGAGGTACAAGATCCATCCTAGACTATGTAATAGTCAATAGAACTATGTCAAGAACAAGGTTGTGAAATAGACACAGACCACTATTTTGTAGACAGCAAAATTAAACTTGCATTACAACAAACAAAAACTAAAAAAAATAGGAATAAAACAAAAGGTATTCCTTCCAGAAGATGAATGTATCAAAACCTTGTATGAAAAAAGACAGAGAAAAACTACAGAAGGTAGATAAAGAAAATGTAGAGACATTTTTGAGTTCACTTAAACAATCTGAAGCAGGAAAAGAGAGCATAGGCTACAAACAATTCAAGAAAACAAAATGGTTGAGAACGTGGGACAATGATCTAAAAGAGATGATAAATCAAAAGAAGAAAGCATACAGAACCTACCATCAAAAACGTACAGTGGAAAACTACATGGAATATAACAGATTACGGGCCAAAATAAGACGTGTCAGCCAAATACATAGAAATTGGAGAAAATTTGTTAATAGCATAGAAAGATGTACAGACCCTTCACGAATGAGTTTCAAAGTTTTAAAACTGCTGCACATGCATGTGAAAGATGAAATGAGATTAGATGGCATACCAGAAGAAAATTGGATACAACGCTACTGTGGAATAATCCAACTTTCAGATACAATGAAGTGCTGGAAGCAACAAGTCAATCTCTGACAACTATGAACTAGACAACTCACTGACAATAGAAGAGCTCGAGGCAGTACTAAGAAAAGGGAATAGGAAAAACCCCGGATCAGATGAAGTCAACACAGATATTGAGATACAACATAAGATATTGAGGAAATGAGCTGAAAGAAATGTTATTAGAACTTTTTAACTAAGTGTGGTAAGAGAAAACAATTCCAATAGAGTGGCAAGAGGATTTGGTTATTAACATCCACAAGAAGGGCTCAAAGAAGATACGTGACAATTTCAGGGGCATTACATTGTTATCAACAGCTTGCGAACATGCTAAGGAACAGACTCAATAAAATATGTGAGAATTTCATTGGAGAAGGGATTCCAAGAAGGTAGATGCACTAAAGACACCATCTTTTCAATACAAATGTTAATAGACAAAAGAAGAAAAAGGAATCTAACGACTTTATTTGTTGATTATGAAAAGACTTACGATAAAGTTAACAGACAGAAACTCTGGGAAATACTAGAAGAGGAAAAAGTTTCGTAACAGTTACTCAATGCAATACAAAGTCTCCAAGAACTCAAGAATAAAAATACTGTTAAGAAAGAGAAAAAAGTCGGCAGCAATAACAACCAACAGTACAGAGCGTTCAGTCATGTGACCGGTTTTTTTGACAGCCACTGATGCCATACCACATGGATCATGAGCACTTGATGCATAACATGGGTCATGCCCTGGGGTGGCAGTGATTTAATCAAGAAATGATTCATTTATTCAGAACTTGGTACGTGTAGTGGCGCGTGGGCATACATAAAGTATTTGTCATTCCGCAAGGAGAAAGTTATGAAAATATTTTATTATAGTGATAAAACATATTGAACGAATTTGAACTATATTAAGGTTACTGTTTGTAAAGTTAATAATTTCGCCACAGTGTTCAGTTAGAATTGGGAGTCCATGCGAGAGAGGTGAGCTAACATGGCTTCTCTTATGTTGGC